GGGCATCTCTGGGGACAGGACAAAGGGACACACGAGGGGGGCAGGGGCAGGGCTGGAGGAGGAGTCCACTGGTTGGTCTGAAAAGAGTGTAAGAAGGGGGAAGGGAGCAGCCAAAGAGCTTCCTGCATCTGTGTCCAGGGAAAGAGAGGTGAGTGTGTGAGCGCGTCTGTCCGGACTGGTCCTCCCCTGCCAAGCGCAGGGATGCGTGACCCAGAGCGGCCAGGGCGGCCCCAGCCGCACCTGCCGGACATTCCCTTCTCACTTGACCCTGGCCAGTCCTTATGTGAGTCAGATCTTGTCACTGTTTCAACCCAGAATATGCTTCAGAGCCGGGTGTCCCTGTCACTCCATCCCCATACATTTCTATTTGTCATTTTGAGATGTGATACGGACATCTGAGGCCACCGTGCCTCACATGCACACGTGCTTAAGCCCACAGGGACCGTCTCAAGGACAGAGAAAGTGGCTCTAGGTGTCACAGTTTGCTTCCTAAACTCATTAGATTCCCAATAATACTTCTATAGAATTCATTAATGACCCGAGCACAATGAAACTCAAATTAAGCCCGCTGGCAGGGAGCAGGAGGGGACTCGGCCTTCCCCGCTCCACCCTTCTGACTCGGAGCGCCCGGCCCTCTGCTGCGGTAAGGGGCCGCCAGCCTCAGGAGGCAGGGGCTGGGTCCTCGCCCCGATGCTGCCCAGGTGGAGCGGACAGGACCAGAGAGGACACACGGGGCCCCCGCCTGGCCATCAGCCCTGGCCCCAGTTCTGTAGGCGCCTGGTGCTTCCTGTCGTCTGTCCCCTCTAGGCCTGGGTGTCCGGCAGGCGGTGTGGCAGACTGTGGGGTCGGAGCCACCTGGGTTTGCACCCCGACTCCACACTTTGCCGCGCGGCTTCATCTCTTCACGTTCTGGGCTTCTACTTTCTCTTCTATAAAATAGGAATAATAACTTATGTTTTGGGCGGTGGGCCTAGAAATGAGACCTGAAGTGTCAGGCACAGGGAAGAAACTCACTACACTGTAGGCATTATCTTTTGGCCCCTGGGGTAGGCCCGCTCTCCTGTCTCTTCCAGCACCCCCCGGATGCCGCAGGCTTGGCGGTCGTCTGGGCCACAGACTTGTTTCTCTTCTTCGACAATTGACAGCCAGACTTGACCTTGGGCTCCAGGCCAGGTTCCTCGCCCTTCTTTCCAGCACTTCCCAGTACCCAGAATGACATTAATTCAATGGGGTTAGAAAGCAATAAAATTACGTTGGAAAAATAAACTGGTTTCCAAACTGTTTCTTAAGACGTTTTTCTGTCCTTGGGCAATCCTGTCTGCAGAGGGCTGGTCTCCGCGCACCGAGCGCCGCGGGTGCACCGGCCGACAGTCACTGGGTCCAGACAGACGGGGCGGTGCCGTGGGTTTCAGTGCTGTTGGTGCCCCCTCCTCACCTCTTCTCTGTGTTTGTGGGGAGCAGGGCACGAGGCATCGTTCACACCCATTTCTCTTTTCTAAGCTTCTGTGGTCTCTTCCAAAGGCTCAAATGAAGGAGGGGTGTGTGTGTGTGTGCACGTGCTCAGGCCCACACACACGCGCCCACAAGCCTCTGCTGCTGGGATCCATAAGCTTCCTTCCTCCGTCTCGGCCCCTCTTCCTTTACTGCCCCAAGTCAGGGCACAGTGGGAGCTCTCTCGGGGTGGCGGGTGCAGAGGGCGGCAGGGCGAGGGCCGCGTCCCAGCAGGAGCAGACCCGGCGGGGGGACGATGGGCACTGGGCACTGTGCTCAGGGGAGCTACTTCCTGTCCCCTGGAGAACTGGGAACACACAGATCACACCAGTTGGTCAAACAAGAGAGGCAGTG